TAACTAGTATAGTAGTAAATGTAAAATAATGTGTTTAATATTTATTTCTGTGCTTTTTAAATGTGTTTGGATATCTTTTAATTTTGGAACTGTTTATCTGTAAAATTTTATGCTTGAAAGACAATGTCTTATGTAGTTTCTTTGCTATGCTTTTTATGCGATGTTTAAAAAATTATACTGTTGATTCATTTAGTAGATGTATCTTTCCTTTTTATTTATAATGCAGTAGATTTTTCAAATTATATGTTCTTTAATTCTTTATTGATAAGAACATAAAATATTGCTATTAAATTTCATAATTCATTTCTTATGCCTACAATAATACACCTGTACACTTTTCAATTTGCTGATTTATAGATATTATATGCTGTACATACATATGCAAAAATATCACCATACATCATTTACATATTATTCTTTACATTTTTTTTTCATGATATTATTCTACTTTTTTGACACTATCATTTATAAATATTTACAAAATCCCAAATTATAATTGCTATATATTACACTGCTCTGTGTAGCACCTTTTATTTTGCATGTAAAATATAACTGCATTTTATTCTATTAATTTATAGCTATTAACATTATATGAGTTTGAAAATACTTTATCTTCTATTTATACATACTCTTACTATCTAATTAAAAATCCATATTGTAAAGTAAAGTACTCTTTATGTCATAAATTAGTAAAAAGAATTTGTAGCTGAATACTGCTAAATATGTTTTACGTAATTTATTAGTTGCTTTTAAATCAATAATTCATAAATTTAAATTGTATTAATCGAAATTTTTCTGTCAGGGCCTGATGTTTGGTTATGCAACAGATGAAACTGATGAATGTATGCCATTGACAGTTGTATTAGCACATAAATTAAATCAAAAGATAGCAGAGTTAAGACGAAGCGGTGAATTATGGTGGGCAAGACCAGATTCAAAAACACAGGTTTGTTTTTCTTTTCCATATACATTTTATAATATTTTTAATATTAAAAAGGATTGTTCAATGATGTTTTTTTTTTTGTATTTGCTACTCTTGAGTGCCATGATGTTAACACTTTACTGAGAATAATCTTATAAAATGTATTATTTAATATACCACGAATTGATGGGTGTGTCACAATATTACATAAAAATTATAAATTTATATATATGTAAATATGACTGATTTGTTTTATTAAGGTTACATGCGAATATATAATGGATCATGGAGCTTGCGTACCTATAAGAGTTCACACAGTTGTTGTGTCTTTGCAACATAGTGAAAAAATTGGCTTGGACGAATTACGTAAAGCTGTTATGGACAAAGTTATCAAAGAAGTAATTCCAGCGAGGTATCTTGATGATAGAACAGTTTTTCACGTTAATCCTTGTGGACTTTTTATCATCGGTGGACCACAGGTAAGACTTATTTTTCAAAAATATAAAGAACAAAAATATAAAAATAATATAAAAATATAAAAATAATTATTGTAAATTATTTTGTTACAGAGCGATGCTGGTCTTACTGGTCGTAAAATTATTGTAGACACTTATGGTGGTTGGGGGGCTCATGGTGGTGGTGCATTTTCTGGAAAAGATTTTACAAAAGTTGATAGATCAGCTGCATATGCTGCAAGATGGGTCGCTAAGTCTCTTGTAAAAGCAGGTCTTTGCAGACGCTGTCTAGTACAGGTACAATAATTATATACTAATTATATATTGATTTAATAAAATATACAAATAATTTAACAAATTTCTTAAAACAATGTATATCTTAGGTTTCCTATGCCATTGGTGTTGCCGAGCCTCTTTCTATTACAGTCTTTGATTATGGTACATCAAAGTTATCACAAAATGAATTGTTGGATATAGTTAATAAAAATTTTGATTTACGACCAGGAAAAATTGTTAAGTAAGTACTAATATTCTTATTTCAAGATACTTGAAATAAAAATACTATGACAAAATTTCTAATCTATTCTAATTTTATATATATATAAAGTCTTACTGTGACGGTATCGAATAACGTATCTATCCATAACATATATATATAATTATATATCTTTATTACTATATATTATAATATATCTATATTAATATATAATAATATGCCTATATTAATATATAATAATATATTAATATTACATTGATCTCGCAATAGACACATGAAGCCGGGAAAAAAAAGATATTATTTGTTAGAAAGAAAAATCCAAAGTAGATTATCCTATATATGTAGTACATAATATAATTTACATTTTTTACAGGGAGTTGAATCTTCGTAATCCTATTTATCAACAGACCAGTACGTACGGTCATTTTGGGCGTGATGGGTTTACATGGGAACAACCAAAAACTTTAAACCTCGATTGATGAGAGGATGCATGTTAAATCATTAGACGTTTCTCGTTTAGAACGTCTTATTAATTATTTGTCCTCTCTTTCCCTCCCCCAATTCTCTCTCTCTCTCTCTCTCTCTCACTCTCTCTCTCTCTCTCTCTCTCTCTCTCTCTCTCATTCTGTCTCTGTCTTTCTTTCTCTCTCCTATTTCCATAAGTAATCTTTTATCTCGTCAAAGTTAATTCGAGATTTTCAGATCTCTCCGCACTACATCCGCCGCTTATCTATTGGTTCCTTTTGTTAAATTCAATAGTATAAAACGGGGAAACAGTGGTGTCTATATTAATTATGATAAACCACGCCGTGGAATATGTTGTGTCTATATGACAGGCATAGTACAAATTTTGTGCATAATTCGACACGCTGGCGTGAACAGTCCTTTCTCTTCCTTTTTATTCCTCTTGAATCTAATAGCGAACGTTAATGTCGTAAGATTTGACGGGAACTAGTTTTAGTATATATAATAAAGTAAAAGGAAATAAAAAAAAAAAAAAAAAAAAGAAAAAGAAAGAAAAAGAAAAATATGAAGAAAACTGAGAACTGAGTATTTAACAACAAAAAAGAAAAAAAGAATAGGAGTTTTTATTCTCTCAATAATTGGATGCAGTCATGCTTAGATTAGGTATGAGTTGTTCATATAATTTTCATATGTATTGGCTATGACATATGTATCTTGTGATTTTTATGTAGCATCATGTAGATAGAATCACATTAGCAAATAGTTTTCAAATAATCTGATTTTTATTAAAAAAGATAATGGTCTCATAATCGTTCTCTCAATCAATAATCAGAATTTAAAATATAGAGATCCAGCACAACAGAGATTGTGTGACGGAGCTCGATAGCGAGAAAAATTTTATTGAATTTTTAGTATATGTGAGTGATATCGTGATTTTAAGCAATGACAGAAATATGTAAAAAAAAAAAAAGAAATATAAAATGAATTGAAGAAACTTTGCTGTTTCATTGATATATTGATCGACTATATATCGATATTGGCAATGTAAAAATGCACAAGAATAATCATAATATACATGAATTATAATAAAATAATTTTTTTAATAAACGGTCAAACTTTCCTTCCGCTTTTGTTCTTCCTTTTTTCTTCTTTTTTTTTTCTTGTTCTTTTTTTCTCTTTCTTTTTTTTTTCTATCCTTTTTCTCCTAATTTCATGTCATTTGATTAAATATATCATGGTCTATTATAATGATATAGTGGCATTAGAATGAAATATATTTATCTATTCAATATATAGTGTTTTCATAGTGCGATATATGTGAAAATATTATAAATATAGTTAGGCTACTTTGTACGATATTTTAATAGTAATGAAAATACTGAGCTCTGTCGCACTTGACGATATATGAACAATCGTAGCGAGCATTTAGAATTATATTCACATATGTACATTGCGCAACGATTCTATATTCTTTATTAATTGCCGTGTTAAGTAATAGTGTTGCGGTGTACTTAATAATTTTTCTATTAGGATCATTTGAAAAGTTCGCAGCTTTTTCGTTCTCTTTTCTTTCTTTTTCTTAAATGCATTAATTTCGTTGTTAAAGTGAAAAAAAAAGAAATAAGCCTTGAATTTTTCAAATTGCCCTCGTATGAACGTCTATTTAATGTTTGCTTGTGCTAACAATTTTTTTTCTCTTTTTGTTAAACAAAATTTCGAATGATTATAATAATGTATATGATACTAGCAAGAAATACCGTTGTATCCCAATGATCATAACTTTATGTACTTTTATGAAAAGTTGAACACAGCATTTGAATCACAATGAAGTTTTAACATTTATAGTTCACTCATGCCTTCAAATATACCACTTTAATAGAAGGATGATGTGTTACGAATAGAAATTATAAATATGCAATATAAAGTAGAGAAAAAAATGTTTCAGTAATGTTTCCTATGCCATCGAACTACTAATAATATTACACCATATTAAAAGGTATATATACCATATATCATATATATATGAAATGTTGAATTTGCAAACACAATAACTAAAAAAAGAAAATATTTCACAGGTAGATGATTATGTCTCTACATATTATAGAATGGTATATAAGTTTTACATTTTATAAAGTTAATAATGTTGCTATGAGTTTCAGTATAAAAAAAAAAAAAAAAAGAAAAAAGAATTGTGTCTGTCAAACTTTTAGCAAGTAAAAATAACTATGATCGTGTACATAAACTTCATTTTGTATTTAATAATAAAGTTATTAAGAATTAGTCAATTGGGATATGTATATGTATATCGAACATCATATAATCTCTAAAACTTATATGAAAGATAGTTATATCAGATGAAAAAACATTTACCATCAATATATTGTATATTTATAGGTATATATACATAGAATATATATTTAATCGTGTACATAGTACATAAGGTCTTTATTAATATACACTAAAAGGACCAATCTATTTTTCTTTTCAAAATGTGTCTACTTAAAAAAATATTTTAACCTGTTTTTATAATTGGAAAAAAAAAGAAAACTTTATATTTTCCTTAATTTTAAACGATAAATAATACATGTTAAATGTAAATAACATTATTTGAAGTCGCTACATAATTTTGTACAAAAAATGTAGATAGTGTAGCGCAGTGGTCTTTTTTTTTTTTTTTTTTTTTTTTTATACATTTATTTAAAGAGTCAACGAAAGAATAAACAAAAACAATTGTCAAATAGGGGCTAGTTGAATAAGAATCAAAAAAAGGTAAAATACCTTTTAACGATATCCAATTTCTATGGGTCAGTTGTATGTTAATATATAAAAAATTACAATAATTTATAATTTAAAATTGAATAACATTCGACGTATATATTATAATAAACGGTCATTGTCAACCATGATTTTCATTTGTAATTATAAAAGTACGAGAGTATACTCCCTTCATTTTATAAAAAATTTACAACTAGACCCAAAGAAGTAAAATTCTTATTTCTTCAGCTGGAAGTAAAACGTAATTTTATTCGTTGAATATTAATTCGTTAAATCTTTTTAGGTGCATGAATGCGACTGTGCCTTAAAAGTGAACTTTTATCTGTAAAAGATTTGTCACATTCAACACACTTATATGTTCTACCTGTATGCGTAACTAAATGCCTGCTAAGTCCTGACGCATGACAAAATGCTTTAGGACATAGTTGACAATGATGGAGTTGTATATCATTTGGATCTAATTTTTGATGTCGACGCATGTGTACCTTTAGTGCTTCACGTTGCGTAAAACTTTTGTCACAATGTTGACACTGGAATGGTTTTTGTCCAGAATGAGTCATTAAATGACGTAGTAATATTTCTTTCTGTGCAAATGCACGATGACATATATTACAACCGAATGGTTTTTCACCTAGAAATAATAATAAAAAAAAAAAAAAAAAAAAAAAAAAAAAAAAGAAAAAGAAAAAATATATAGTTTATAATAAATTCATTAGATTTTTTTTTATTATTCAGAAAAACAATATCTTATATTAAAACTAACCAGTGTGTGTACGTTCGTGCCTTATTAATGCTGATCTTGTAGGGAACCATTTTTCACATGCTTGGCACGTATATCCTCTTTGAGTAGAATGAACTGATTGATGACTTTTTAACATAATTCTTCTAGTAAATGCTTTTGGACACTTATCACATTGAAATACTTTTAATTCTGTACTTGCATCAACTATATGGAAAAAAAAATCATATATTAAATTTTTCTATATATGTATATATATAAATTATTCAATAATTTTAGTAGAGCTTTGTAATATATGTACCTATTGTGTCACCCATTGGTTGTAATTTCAATGATTCTCCTTGGCCAGAACTATTACTAGTCAACTCCATCATGTAAACATTTTTATGATCTGCATTTGCAATAGCTCTTTGTACTTCTTCAGCTTCATCTTCAGACTCTTGTTCTTGTTTAATTCTTGTTGTACGTATCGTACATCGGGCTTTTGCTGTTCTTTCTTCAGCTGGTACTAATGTAATACTTTCTGGATCTTCAGACATAGGTTCTTCCATTTCTGGATTTTCTGAATTCATACCTAAAAATTAGAAACAAAAAAAAATCGATTATACTTGATATATTGAAATTATCTAACTAATAATTTTCAATGTTAATTATTACACACCTAAAATATATCCACCAACTAATTCTTCTTCCGTAACTTCTATAGGATCTCCATCAGCTTGACCTCCGGTTCCTTTAGTTGACACTAAATCAGCTAATAATTGTTTAACTTGTTTAGATTTCCCACTACCAGACGCTTCCTTCAATTCATCCGTATTATTCTCTTGATTGTCCGTTTCTTCATCTTGACCAGTTAACTGACGTATTAATTTCATGTGTTTCCTAAGCTTAACATCAGCGGCTTCGCATTTTTTTTTAAATTGATAAGATTTTTCCAATTGGTACTTGCACGGATGACAAATTTTATTTGGTAGACCATCTTCCTCATAAACCTAAATGGCATTATATCATTTCTTTTATTCTTCTATTACATACAATAATACATTATATTTACAGTAATTATATTCTTATGGTATATATAATAAATTCAAAATACATAAAAACAAAGCATAGTTTTTAATTTTTATTTTTATTTTTCTAAATGTAAATCAGTTTAAAATAATCTAAACCGACGTTTCAATGTATTAATGATTTTATCATTGAAAAAAAAAAATCTTAAAGGGATAAAAAAAGATTCAAATAGATCTATTTGAATAAAAGTATTATGAAAAATTATATAACCAATAGGAATATTTTTACATCGAACACCAACGTTTCTGTTACACACTCATTGTCATGCTTTCGAACGTTATTATCGGCTCTATATTATAATCGAATTGAATAGAGGTAAATGTTGAGGATTGAACGTTACAGATTTCTATAAATCCGAAAGGTAAAACGTCTTATTACATCTCGCAGAGAAGTGCGCTCTCTCGTTCTAGATCCCTGTAAACGAAGGAACAAGATATCTCGAGTACGAAGTCGATAACTCGGTAAAGCTGGTAGTTCTTAAAGGCGTATGTACGTCGACACATACAGAGAGCTGCGACGCGCCTATGAATTACAGACGTGGATTGGAGAAGAAAAGAGAAGATGTGAAATTGTAAAAGAAAGAGAAAGAAAGAGAGAGAGAGAGAAAGAGAGGGAGAGAGAGAAAGAGAGGGAGGAGATAGATATAGAATAGAAATAATCAAGCGAAAAGATAAAATAGATTCCTATTTTTCGTAAAATAATTTCATATGTAAAACGTTTCGTGAATAATGTAAAGGGGAAAAAAAAAAAAAAAAAAAAAGAAAAAAGGAAAAAAGAAAAACCTAAACGTCATCGATTTTGTTTGTTATTCTATCGCGCGCCAATAAATGGACGCTACTCACTTCCAAATTGACGCATGCCATGATTCTAAGAGGCAACGGTATGGTCTCGTCGTCGAAAATCGGCACCATCTCTTCTTCCTTTGCCAAGCACAGTCGGCACAACTCGTTCACGTGAATAATTACGTTGCTAGGGCCATCGCCCTTTTTTCTACTATACGTTTTCATTATTTCCAATGAGATTTAACTTTATGAAAGCTTCTCAGATGTCGGCGTCGCTTAGGAAGCGTACTTTTCCCGGAAAATAAGAGGAGCTATCAAAAAGACTCAGTCACTCACAACGGGATCTATAATGGCTGCGGCGTCGAGAAGCTTTCTCGACCAATGGGCGTTTCGATAGCGCTGCGATCGCTCGTCTTCCGACACTGTCGCCATTTCTATAACTACATTAGAAAAGGATGGTATATTGTCGTTTTTAAAAGTATGACGAAGAAATGAATAGACGAGTTAACTGGTCGAAAAGAGAGGGAGAGTCAGACGTAGGAATCCATTTTGAGAGCGAAGCTGAATCGCGAGTCGGTAAGGGCGGTAGCTTTTATTGATCCCTTACGTTCTTCTCAACGGCGGGAAACATATTACCTTTTCTCTTACTATCTCTCTTTTCTTTTTTATTGTCTTTATTTCTTTTTCTTTTTTTTTTTTATCTTATTCTTTCATAGCGTGAAAGAATTTTCAACGGTCAGTGTATAGCCCATACTTCCTTGACAAGATCCAACTCGACTCCTCCTTATTTCTTAGATTAGGAATAGAAAAGGAATTAAGAAAAAAAAATTGAAGAAACAGAAAATACGTACAAAAGTTGAACAGAGAAAGGAGTATATATACCTTCGAGGAAGATTTTTCAGTATTTCGTTAGGAACTAAACGATTATGGGATAAGCGCATAGAAGAGCGCATTTCTACGATATGGAATAATATCGACGGGTTCGTAAATGAACGAAGCTGTGTCAGCGTATTCGTGTCCTGATCGTCGATATAGCCGTAATTCGCAGTTATATGGTACAACGTGATATCAGGCGCCGTTCGATTATCGAAAGTACGACTTTTGGAATATGATGACGTAGGAAATCGGTGTTCACGTTCGTTACTCTTTCGGTAAGAATAATTTCTTTTATAAATACCACAATTTATTTTTCGAATTAACAAGACAATTAAGACTTATCATATAAATGTATGCGTATATATCGTAAAGAATATAATACTTGCGATGAAATATTAATATAATTTCTATAGGATCGATTATTCGCAAAGGCAAACTCGCATAAAATGAAGTATCGACATTTTTCTTAGAACTTAACCTAACTTGCAACAAGTTTCTTATATATACAGAGTCTAGACGAGTTATATATATATATATGTATATATATATATATATATTTAAACACTTAATATAATACAGTAAGATGTTAATTATTGATTTACTATTAGGATCTCTTTCGTGTCAATATTTTGTTACGTTCCTGTATGTTTGAGTCTATATTATTAGTGTATTACATTACCGACAGTATGTGGGATACAATGTAATAATCGACAAGTTTAATTTTTCTTTTAAACGATCATTATTATAACAAAACAAAAATAGAAAAAAAATAAGTATATTTTAAAAAGAAAATATTAAACAAGAATTCTTTTTTTTTTTTTTTGGTTATGATAAAAATGTAGAAAAGATAATTGAATATGCTTTGTCAGCTTTCAAGATAATTTTGTAAACGTAGACAACAAATAATATCGCCATCTGACGATGGAAATTAGAAATCGAATAACGCGCCAATATTTTTAGATACTCGATATATATAGTTTTCTTTTTCAACGCTAGGTGGACACAGCATCCATCTTGTTCGTTACTAGAAAAAGTTATAGCATATACCTCGCATATCGAATGTATTTCGTTTTAAAATAGAGAATATTTTTCATTTTAATAATTATATATAAGGATTTTATTTTAGGAATATGTAGATTTGTCGTAAAGTTATATTATAATTACTCATTTTACAATAGTATTTTCCTTCAGGTAAAATAAATAACTTTGAAGAGATCTGTTATCGGATGAACGTAAGAATATAAATGACTTTAGTTTATTTTGTTTTAAAAGTAAGCTGTAGCCGTATTCGCATATAAATTATATTACGTTTATTTTCTAATTCTTGATACATATGTATATCGAAGGAAACGATTGATTTAGAGAATATCACATAAATCTTTATGTTCGTAAAAGAGTAATCGTATTTCCAGGTTATCCAGTAGTAAAAGAACCCGCCATAATAGCGCCATTTTGCCGGGAGGTAAAATGAAAAATGAGCGGGAAGCTTAACGTGAGAAAAGCTTCTAGAAAACGCAAATGACTTTCTTGCGTTTGCCAGGAAAGTGGTTGGAAACGATGGATGGAGGTGCGAGGGGATTCGAAAATAACTTCGTCCTGTGGATATGAGAATGAGAAAGAGAGAGAAAGAGGAAGAGGGAGAGATAGTCATCACTCCGCTGGTACTCTCGCATGCTTTTGCTTTTACGAGTCCAGTGTGTTTCGATAGACGAAGAACGCGTGTTTCACCTTTTCAACACGAAGGTAGGTTTAAAAGCTTCCAAGAAATGAAAGCTCTCTTTCTTTCTCTCTTTACGTTTACATTTTACTCAACGCCGTTTCCACTTTTGTTTATACCGGAAACGGAAATATAATTCTCTTGCGGTTGATCGTCTTCTTCTTCTTCTTTTTTCTTTTTTTTTTTATCCTCTTTTTTTTCTTCTTAACTTGTCCGTACGACATCGTGCATTATTATATGTTTTCAGAGGCAATAAAAAAAAAAAAGAAAAAAAAATTTATATGTTTATATAAAAATAAACGTTTAACGTTTATATTTATCATTTTATTATACGACGAGATATATCTTGGTATAATCTTGATATATTATAGTCATTCTTAGATTTCTAATTTTACTCATGTTATTTTTGTATCTCTTTTATACTTTGGTCTTGTATATAATCTTTGAAGATAAAGGAGAAGCGGAGATCCGTGGAAAAGCAATGGAGAGTTCGAGGAAGAAGAGAAAGTTGAGAGGAAAAGTCTCTTCCGCATTGTATTCTTTCCTTAAGGAATTCTTTAATCATATTTTAGAATTTGTTTACTTTTTTTTCTTTCTTTCTTCCTTTTTTCTTTTTTTTTTTTTTTTTTTTTTTATAATTATATAAAAAAAAATAATTATATATATATATATATATACATAATCATTTTTTTTCCCCTTATTACTTTCGTTACATTGCAATCATCGATTTTTCTTGGTAATATTAGTAGCTTCTTAACTATATTGGAGTATCGCATATATGTATCTTGTATCGTAATGCAGACACACCAAAATAGTACGGTCGATCTATAATATCGGTACGAAGAAGAAGAGCGTGTAAACAATCTCGGATCTTGGATATCTCGATGTCGAATATTTGGCATCCGATCAGTGTGGATTGCACAAAGGAAAATATGAGAGAAAATACAAGAATCAAAGTGGCGCATTAAGAAAAAATAGTAGATGCGCGTTAAGAAAATTTTAGTAAAAAAAAAAAAAAAAAAAAAAAAAAAGAAAGAAAAGAAAATAGGATCTCTTTCTGAGAAACTTATCATTGGTAATTTTCACATGTGAAAGTTCTCGTTTCTTTTTTCTTTTTCTGTTTCTTTCTTTTTTTGTTTCGTTTTTCTTTTTTCTTCTTCTTTCTCCTCGTCTGGCACGAATTTTCCGATGTGAGGAATCAGATTTCAAAGAAGAGCTCTCTGCTTCAATCCAAAGAGCTCGCCCAAATACCAAGTGGAAGCTGGTGGAAATAGAAATGAGTTATGTAAAGGAAACGGATATCGAAATTTCACGTTAGCAGTTGTCGCCGAGTGTTCCTAATGCTCATACTAATTGTCTTCGATCTTTCGAAAGATTTTTGGCTTGATCGCTATTTCACCTTCGATGTGTTACACGTTCGCCTTCGTAAAACATTTCTGATTATATCGTAACGCAACACGATCCTATACATATGATATCCACCAAAACTGATGTATCTTCGTTTAACAGGGAAAAGAGGGAGAGACGTGTACGAGATTTTGCGGACGATGTAGATATATTCGGAGGAATTTCGTAGCAAAAATAACTATGGTAGGCCAACGGTGGCTACCCCCGGCATCAAGATACTTCAGTAAGAAATTTTAACTTTCTGAATAAATTCCTTCATCTCTAGAGTTCTTGATTTTTCTTCTTCTTCTTCTTCTTCTTTCTAAGCTTAATCTGAATTACATGAATGTATACGTTAGCTCTTTAAAGGATTTTACTCCATGAAACTAGTTTCACTTTTGTCATTTAGTTTCATTCATTCATGATTAGAATATATACTATGAAATATAATATTTATTGAAAAGTTTGGGTAAATTTGACGAAGATCGTCTAAACGTTGTTTCTCTCGTCAATGTCATTTTTGACATCTGAGAATACTCATTGTAACTTAAACGATGAACAGCTTACTCCTATTTTCAAAGTTAAAAGACAATGTCAGTGAACTCTTAGGAAATATTTCTAACTGGATATAAGAACCATTCAGATATCGTTTTCAATAGACTGAACCGAAGTTACGATCATATATGTACGTTCTTTCTTGTTTTTTCGACATCCCTCCCCCATCCTCTCTCTCTCTCTTTCTTTCTCGTTCTACGTAAATTTCTTGGCACGAACTTTGGGAACATGGGAACACTTTGCAATATATGCGATCGTTGCATTTGCGATCAAATGTCTAAACATTGTGGCGGACAATCTTGAAGTAATGATCACACGTAGGTGATTCGCCAGTAGAATTTTCGGTGTCGTATCACTTGTGCCTGACGATTAGTAATCGTGTTAAGTGAAATAGTTGAATCATCTCGACCGTTTTATATTTTCAGAGGTAAGAGTTACTGATTTTTATCGGTGGTGGGTTTTAAATATAAAATGTAAGAGGAAGACGAGTCAACATCGAAAGTAGAACAAGATGAACGAATTTATCTTAAGAATTATACATTTTCTTTTTTTGAAGATATTAATATGAATGTTTTTTTTCTCTCTCTCTTTCTCTCTCTCTCTTTTTGTAGTCAGAAGAAAGTGGAAAAAGATAAGAAAAATATGTCTGGGCAGAAAGTGAAATACGTGAACAAGCAATTCAACTCTCCTATCAACTTGTATTCACCGCAAGCTATACAGGAGACTTTGGAGAGGCAAACTCAGGTTCTGGCTAATGGAGCAGTCGGGTAATGACATTCGTACTTAAAATATCACGCACACGACCTACGGAAGAATGCAGAGAGAGAGAGAGAGAGAGAGAGAGAGAGAGAGAGAGAGAGAGAGAGAGAGAGAAAGAGAGAGAGAGAGAGAGAGAAAGAATTTTCATCCCAAGAATAACGTAATCGTTCCTTTTCTCTCAATCACGTTAATGATAAGTTTCACTTGATAAGTTTCTCTTTGTACTCTAACTTGAATCAGATTAATTTTTTTTTTTCTTAATTGTTCTCAGAGAAGCGAGTACCTAAATCCTTATATCATCTTAGAAGTTCTTAAAAAATTCTAAGTCTTCTAATGACCTTATCTCAGCACTTCTATTCGAGTGATTCTATTTTATAATTGTCGTTCTAATTTTTTTGATATGATAAGGATTTGAATGGTGGTAGATAAAGAGAAAAAAAAAAATAATAAAATAAAAATAAAAAAAGAAAGAAAAAAGATTAAGTTGATTGACCGATTGATAAACGTACGTCAACCACCTTACGTCAGTTTTACGTATATCTATATATATATATGTATATATATATACATATACACACACATACATCTTTCTAACCTCGGCTATAAAGTATCGACGAGTGACGTCGATTTAGAAGGTAGTGTCTCACATAAGTGTCTTATACGAGTCGAGATGAATCATCCAAGAAAACAGGAGATTGCTGTTGCTGCTGCTGCTGCCGCTGCTACCGCCGTCTTCGTCTTCGTCTTCGTCGTCGTCGTCTTCGACGTCGTCATTGGCGAGAGCCCCCCGTTATTTTCAGAGGGCCGAATCACACCGGTTAGAAATAAACGCGGACTCGGAGGCTAGTCGTTGCGCAAAGCCCGCGAACATCGTACTTGACTTAGTTTCGCGTTTGATGGCCCCTGGCTATACGGTTGACCGCAGTCTCTCGTGATTTTTCCGATACACCCCTTTTTTTCTTCAATCGCGCTTACTTCGTTTCTTTTTTAAATATGATCGCTCAAAGAAGGTTCGATTACTTTCGTTTTCTTATTATTTAAATTCATCATTTTCTTTGGAACAATTTATTATTCATCATTTTGATTAAATATTGTTATATCATTAACTTGTCAGATCATTAACCCGTTTTATTAATTATAATATCATCAAAAGTCTATTGTCAGGTTTTATTAATATTTCATATAATCAATTATATTTGCTATAATCAGTATTTGTTAAGTAGTAGTTCATTTTTCCCGTAATAATTGTCATTTTATTGTATCAACAAAATAGTAGATGTTTACAGGAGCTTTGTTTTTTTTTTTTTCTTTTTTCTTTTTCTTTTTTTAGGATCGACTTCAATCAACTGGCCAAGCCGGCAAATTTACAAAACAGCGCTGTTCTACGTATGCTCGAAGAGGAGGAAGCAAGACAACGAGGTGGTCAACCAAGTGAGTTTCATTAATTCTTGCATCTATCATTATTTCGTTCGTCCTGCTGAGTAAGACTATATAGCATATCGTTTAAACTTAATGGCACATATCGTTGTGATATATATATATATATAATTAATAGTAGGCAAATGTCCGTATGTGCTAATTTAATGCGGTGTTATTAACATCTCCGAGACACACCATTCTATAATGTCTGCGATGCATCTTTGATTCATTCGCTTTATACTTGATATTCCGCTATATACCACGTGTCTGGCAACTATACCAAGATTCATTTTGCCAAATTAGCAGATAGATATCTCTAAGACATAAAAACTTTTTAATATAGGGTCATTCTAATATCTAAGGACAAATTTTAATAGATAAAACTTTGACCTTGCATGTGTCGAGTGCATGACAAAGTATAACTATATATATATCGATAATTACAAAGATGTTCTAATGATCGCAGAATTTTCGAATTAATCATTTATATTTTATTTAATTATTCAAACAGCATTTAATTATCTGTAAATGTGTTATCATTCAGACTAGAATTTTTTTTTTTTTACATACATACACGTCCTATTGAAATTTAGTCTCACCTAACTTCATAATTTATGTTTATATCACTATATGCTTAAATTATAGCGAGCTAATTTTATGTTTTACTTACGCTTGCTGCTTTTGCCCAGATCGCAAGAAACGGAACTTATACTGATCGTCGCAGGAGACTAACAAGATCACTGACACGCAAGGAATATACCGATCTACCAATTCCACGAGAAAAAAAGTACACGGAGGATTTTAGTACCCACTAATTTTGATCAAGAGGCTCCTAACACAATCCAAAGACATGAGCTTTTGCGATGCTCTTCTAACTTCAAAAGATCATTGTGATCTATTATCAAAAAGGCTTCTGCCATTAATAATATTAGAAGCGAATGTAATTTTTTCTAATTGCAGGTAATCATAAAAATTAATTGCCATTCCATTATTAATAATTATTTCTGCACGAATAATTGTGATCTAAAGATATTATACATATAATATTAATATTACGATAAAATTTTGGGAGAAGATTCCCAAAAAGAAAAAAAAAATGTATGTTAGCAAAATAGCATAGACAAGCAACAGGGAAAAGAAAGTTGGAAAGGTGGTAAATTATCGATAATGTGAAAATTTTGAAAATCAACCAATCGAAATAGGCGCATAATCAGTAGCTAGTTGCCTAGTACCCCCCACTCTTTGGCCAATAACCAAGGAAACTCTAAAATCGGTGGCCAGGTCATTGCGGCAATCATGAAAGGTAGAAGAAATGTTCGTTTAGCGTTAGTAGTTGGCCAGTTTTTGTTTTGGCAAAGTCGTGTCCGTCGATCTAATACATCTGAGTATTCCAAAAATTGTGTGCGAAAGATACAGGGTACGTTGTGATTAATATCACATCGTAAATAAATCTATAATAATAACAATAATAATAATAATAATAATTATAATAATAATAATAATAATAATAATAATAATAATAATTATTGTATTTTCAATGTTTCATATCGTTTGGATTGACGAGATGATATTCGTATGGTCGAATCAAATTTGGAAGAATATGTTTGTGTAACCTGTGACAATAGTGACAACAATTTTGTGCTCAGTGAATTGAAATTATATTTTCCATGATTTTTATTTTTTTTTTGGAAGATATTTTCTAGTGTACATATAATCACAAATATAATAATAATATAATAGTAAGTTTGTAATTGAAAACATCGTGCATGCGCTTTAGTTAATGTTACATTTTTGAACATGAGATGATCTCTTTTTCTATTTCAATTTTCAATATATATATATATATGAAGAATATATATATATTCTTTTTTTGACTCATTAAGTTTTGACTCAAACGAAATTTTTTAAGAAAATTTCATCGTTCCAAAATACATGTATTCGGCCTTCGAGTTTTGAAGAAACTAAGAATACAACGAGGTCACATAGGAATCATGAAAATTTAAAGATAATAATCGCATAAATATAAACTTGGCTAGAGCAACAGGAATCAACATAATGAATATTAATCCCACGATGTTGACGCAATCGATTTCTTTTTTTTTATTATTATTATTTTTTTTTTCTTTTTTTTTTTTTTTATTTTTATATTTCTTTTTATTTATCTATTAATCTTTTGCAATATCCTATCCTACGAAACGATCGCTACGTCCAGCAACTACGGCCAAGTACATTAATACGATGAAGATATTCGTTGATAGTTTGATCATATAATCTCTTTCGTAATGATTTAGAATTTATTAGAAAATTGTAAAGGATTATAAATTAAGTATCATATATATATATACATACATAACATATATATTTTATTAATTTTTTAACTTATAATTTTATTTTGTTTCAGATTTGAAACGTGTTGCTTGGCCACCACCTCCTGAAGATCAAGATCTTGACTTCGTTGAACAAGGACCTGTACAAGCGAAGGTAAATTCCACAATTAACATGATAATGATATGTTTAATAAGATATTCGTTGATGTTGTTACATGATGCTCAATGTCTTTCATAGTATAGTCCAGTCATTTGGTACGTACGGAACTTGTAATGGCAGCCTTTTAACATAATTGTGTTTCCTTGTATGTTCCATTCCAATGATGTCCTTTTTATTTTTTTCTTTCTTTCTTTTTTTTCTTTTTTTTTTTTTTTTTTTTTACATGTAAATTAAACACCGTAAATTTCCGTGCACGTTATATATACATACATATATATATGTATTGTGATGTTGTGAAGCCTGTTAATATATATCACGTATCGGATTAAATTGTCGAGTTAGAATATTGCACGTTCAATTGTTAAAAAATGATTAAAAATCGTGTCACGTTTTAAAGAAATTGAATTGTTGGAGGACAATCGAATGTGCACGTTTAGTAGCAAACGACCATATGTTTATTTTCCCTTAAAAAGACCCGTGGTATCGGTGAGGTTCCCTCGTACCAGAGCAGTCCTTCATCAGGTCCATCACCCCAACCACCGTCAACGATAGCTCGTTCATCGACTCAGAGTGTCCTTCCATCATCTCCGTCGCCATCGATCAGTCCAAGTGGAACACTTCTGCGACAACCATCGCATTTTCAACAACCATTTGCACCTAAAGGTTGGGCACCTGTTACACCACCTGCTACTTCACCTATTCTACAACAACATCCTCTTCAAACTTGGTCCAATCAACCACAACCACAACAACAACAACAACAACAACAACAACAACAACAACAACAACAGCAACAGCAAGCTCAGACTACATGGAAGGTAAGTGATTCAAGGTACGGACGTTGATCTTGCGTCTCTTAAATTATTTTTAACTTGTTAACTTTTTAAAGAATAAGGATTCAAAGATTTGAAGAAGAGACATATGTTATTTGACACGTCCGTGCTTTGGAAATTTAAGGGAGCTGAAGATGATCTTCATTTGCTTTCCAATTTGTCTTCTTTCATTTCAACCTCCAACGGCTATCAAGGATAATCAATGGCTGAAATGCAGTTGAACGAAGCGATCTGAAATACAAGACGAAACTCGTTGTAATTTAATGGTAATCTCTTGATGTATATTTTTATGTTTCAGCAGCATTCTCAAGAGCATAACGAGCGAACGAGACAACAGAATCAACCGTATCAATCCTACGGTCCTGCATCTTACGAAGCACCACCGTCTACTATTGTTCTTAGACCGGAGCCTCCGATCTCACAGGTTGATATACAGATTTCATTTAGTAATATTTAGAGGTATAGACGTATGTGTATATATGTAATCTCTAGTGATATTATTTATTTATTTATTTATTTATTTTATATACATTTATATAGGTACATACTACTTAATAATGAAATCATATTTAGGAGAGGAACAATTGCTCAGAACTTTCTATCATATATATTAGAATGAAATGTATAAAAAAAATATAGAAATATATATATATATATGTGTGTGTGTGTATGTATGTGTGTGTACATATTAATTTTGTAGGCACCAGCACCGGTGTACCAAGCACAACCTGCTGCAACGAAAGCTCCAATCAGTGGTAACATGAGAGGAGATCTCAAATGGCCACCACCTTCCGTAAAAGCACAAACGGAAGCTGAGAATAGAGCCAGGATGGAATTGGCTAAAGGACCTGCATTCAGGCCACGCCGAGTTAACAAGGATTACAGCGGATTTTTTGCTCAACATGCTCTTAACAATAGCTATCCAGGTTACAGAGCTCCACCAGGAACTCAATACTTTACTCCATCTTATCAACATTAGCAGAGGCATTCTATAATATATTCGCATTATATTTTCGCCTTAATATTATATAGATTTTTTTTAGGATATCTGCGCAAATTCTGATAATGCCAATCGACGAATTACTTGAAATGAAGTTTCTCAGGTTCTTTTTTTGTCTTTTTTTTTTCCTTTTTTTCTTTTCAAAATTAGATTCATCGAGAGAAATGATATGACTGACTCTTTATTGATGAATTATTTTATTTAACATAATTTTAATATATTACTCATCTCTTTTCATATAGGTCTTGGCAAGCTCGTTGTACAGATTTCCTGTGTCGAGAATATATATATATATACATACACATATATATATATATATATGTATATGTATATGTATATGTATATGTATATGTATATGTATATGTATATGTATATGTATATGTATATATGTATGTATGTATCTATTTACAGAGACTGACCGACCCGTAAATTATCATAATTTTACATCATTCTATCTTTCTTTTTTCTTTCTTCTTTTTCTTTTTTTTTTTTTTTTTTTTTTTTTTTTTCTTTAGTCGCATAAACATTTTGATAAAAAAAAAATTATGAAACAAATTTATGCACAAGTATGCTTTCTACGTTTCTTTTTCTTTCGTGTTGACACTTTTAGAGATCATGACATATATATATATACACGTTTTTAAATGAAAAAGTTCATAGCAAAATGATATGCGAAAATTGAATGCCCAAATAATGCTAGAAATAAACAAAGAATATTTAAACGATCAAACGATATCGAATTAATATATAGAATAATATCAATAGACGAACGAGATATTCGAATGCTATATAATTAATTATATTATGGAATCGAAGAAAACACATTAACGCACTAAAGCATAATTTAATGTCGCATAATAGTTTTTTTTTCTTTTTTGTTTTTTCTTGTTTTTTTTTGTTTTCTTTTTTTTTTTTTATTTTTATTTTTTTTTTTTATTTTTTTTTTCTATAAAACGTATCTCCTTTTATAATAAAATTTGGCACTAACGTGTCTATGAATAACTAACGATACGTTTGTAATTATGTAATTTATTGTTGTGGAGAGATAAATAAAATGATCTTTACAAATTTCACCCTTTTTTTTTTAACACGCACATATGTGTCTTCACGCGAGTCTCAGATAAAATTGGATCTTTATTATTATTACGTAGCGCGATAAAAAAAATTAAATCACACACGTTTCTTTTTATCAATAACAGAGATAATTCAGTAACCCTTAAATTTATTATAAATGAATAAATACGACTTTTTCAAACAGACAGTGTACACACATTTCATTCAAGTTTCTCTATTTTTTTGTGTGTGTATGTGTGTCTCTGTGTGTGTGTATGTATATTTGTCTTCATGAAATAAAACTTTTTTTTTTTTCAAACTCGTTAAAAATATAAAATATGTTCTCTAGTTAAAAGCGTAGTTATCTTTTTAGCAAAATTCTTTTCTTCTATTATAATACATATCTTTAAAATCCTTTTATAAATCATGACTAAATGTCATGAAGCATTCTAAAACATGACATATAAAAAATTGTTCTTTCATTATAATAATAAACACTCCCTGAGTTATAACTTTTCTCCTATGCAATTTATAATAATTCTATTAAATGAACAAATTCTAAACATTTCTTTCTCTAATATATGTTTATCCTTTCTCTGTTTGGTTTATTAATTATTATTGGAATATTAATTTGAATATATCTTATTTTTGTAAAGCGAATGATAAGAGATAAATTGTTATTATAATATGACTAGATAATACCAAATATTGAATTGAAATCTTTCAAATATCGTGATATATTATTGAAATATTTCAATGGATATATAGTATGAATCATAAAACAAGTATGTAACAAGACGCAATTAAACTATCTGTTTTAATTCGATGCATGAACAAATGACAATTGTCAATTGAACATGCACTTACATCAATGAAGAATTACATCATCATAGTGATTTTCTATTTTACAGAAAAAAAAAAAAAAATAAATAAAAAAAAAGAAAAAAAAAAAGAAAAAAAATTTGTAATAGAATTTGCAAAAAATATAATAATATATTACAATACAAAAATAATCTTTTATGTGTTCACACCAGCGAAAAGCCTTGAGTTTGTTGAATAGCTTGTAATAATTTATAGCGTAATCTTTCGCGAGTTTGGTAACGTGGGAGATCAAGCACATTAAAGCATGTATGTGCAACGGGCAACATACGTTCGTCACTCATCGGTTGTATTATTATCTGCGATATAAATATGTAATATTAAATATAATTAATAATATAAAATTTCTCTTAAAAAAGAGAAAGATAATAATTGAAATAATTTACCTTAATTGCTTTCATACCCTGTATAGGTATTCTGTCACTTCCAGTTAGGAAAAGTAAAAATTTCTTTTTTTCTTCCAAAGATAACTCATGAAATACTTGCCAAAATAAAATAATGGTAGGATCATTCGCCAAATATCCTTCCTTATACGTTGCATTTCTTTGTAACTCTTCCCAATCATAATTTTCATTTCCAACAACCACTGCCATTAATTCATGACTATGGAAAAGTTCTAATACTCTTCCGCCACATACTTTGTGAAAGCCTGTATGGAATGCCTGATAATGGGATTCCACTGATTTGTTGAGAATATAATCTACATACAAATCGACAAATTGTTTTCTGGAAAAATAAAATATTTTAATATAATGGTATAATTTTTTTTTTCTTTTTTTTTTTAAATCAATTTTAATAATGACTAACTTATTTTTTAATGTAACAGGAACTTTTACACCATCTGGTATTAATTCATACGTTTTTCTCTCACCGAAAGCATCTCTGACTATTTCAAAATTTAAACAGAATATCTCTTCAAAATCTGGATTCTCATAATCAAGTATACTTTGTAAACTTCTGCAATGAAAAAAAATTTTCATCGCATTAATAATATTTAATTAACTTTTTCACTTTCATTTAATAAAGGTATAATAGATTAAGAACATACTTAGCAACTGCTGGAGACATTTCTTTAATGTCGATCAATCCTACTGGTTCATGTAATAATTTTTTATATAAAGCCAATGGGAAGGGTAAATCAATTATTATAAAATTATAAATAACAAGTCCACATAGCAAACCAATTAAGGAATACATAACTTCATCTTCAAATGAATCTTGACTAAACCAAATAGTTCTAGTTTCTTCATATTCCCTAAACATTCCATATTTTGGATCTAGTATTTCTTTTAAAAGAAGCATAAAAAATTCTTTTTTAACTCCTCCTGCATCTTCTGCTTCTTCTCCGTGAAATTTTACCTGTGTATAAATAATACATACGTATATATTATATAAATATAGTTAAAGATAAAAATAAAACATATATAAATATATAATAAAATGCTTACTCTTAGCGGTTTCTTTAAATCGCTGGAATCATAATGAGATAATTCTAGTAAAGTATCTTGTACAATATTTTCTCGTGAAACATTCAAAGTGACAAATTGATTATGGAGTCTAGCATCCATGCTATTAGCGGGATATGGATGAAAAAGCATTTGTGTGATAGCACGAGTTGCAGCTTCATTCATTGCTGATTGCATCTATTATTAAATCAAAATGAATATATAGAAAAGTTAATTAAACGCTACATTTTTTAGGAAACATCAAAGATTAACCATTTAACTATGTAGTAAAATAATACCTGTATTGCTTGATCTGTTTCCAATAATATGGTTTTAGCTTGCGCATCAAAAAGAAAAGGATAATTACAGAAATACATTCTGTTATTCTGCAAATAAAAAATAAAAAGTTTTAACAGAAAAAATAAATAAACTCTAGTTAATTTTTATATCTAAATTCATATTTTAATTATTATACCGAATAATTGTCTTTTTCCGTCAGCCATTTAAAATAATCAGCTTTAATGTCTACATGTTCTATTAATTCTGGCAAATGAAACGTGGAGTAAGACACCCTAATTTCATCTTCAGCAGTATGATTCAATTTATTTAATAATCTTAAAAATTCTAAAACGTGTTTGCTCAATACATTCCACGACACATTCTGTAAAAATAAAGTGCAATTCATTATACTAATTTATAATTTTAATAAACCTTGTATTATTACCTTGTCATGTTTGGATTGCTTTATAATATGTAAAACAACACTTTTGTGAGTACGAACAAGCCTTTCAAAATAATAAGATGGAGCTTTACTCCACCATGAGCTTACTACTTTAAGAGCTTCTGATTTTAAGCTTATAACAGCTTTGCAAAATGGTTGATGTAAAGCATTCCAATTTAAAGGATTTGCAAAACCATGATACAAAGGCACTGTTAAATATACTCTTAATGATTCTATGTCTGGTGGAGAGGATGAGAAAGATGGTATAAGGCTATCTGTTATGCTATTAAAAATCTAAAATAATGTTATATAATTATTAATAAAGACAATCAATATTCAATGCATAAATAAATCTTTCAAAATACATACGAGTTCCTGAATTGTATCATTACACGATTCTGATATTATTCCAAAGGATTTAATTGCTATATCCAAATCCACTCCATGGTTTTTACTTGAACAACCATAATGAGCATCATTTTTAAATAAAAACGATCCATTTATACAAGATTGACTCTTAAAAACAGTTTCTAAATACCTAAAATATGAAATATATATTTATAATACTTTTAATTATTAGAAAGATGATTTTACTTACATCATAAGTTCATGATCAACAGAAGATCCTTTTGGTACTCTTTGACAAGCTGCCAATTGTTCTTCAGATATATTAAGTATTTGAGAAGTAGAGTCTATTACTCTACAGTCATCTGATTCCATACTTTCCTATATAACGATTGAACAATATAATATAATTTTAATAATAAAATTTTAAATTAACATTAATAATAAAATATAATAATACATATACATACATACACATATACATATATAATACTATTACATACATATATACATACATATATATGTATATAGATATAAATATATATATATATATATCATTATAATGCATAAATTTACTTCTCTTGGAATAACAGTGGCAAAACAATGATCTCCTCCACTAAATATATGTTTAACGATGCAATCTAGGGACTGTGTAATATAGGGACTCAACTGTGTGTCGAGTTTGACCATTGCTGACCCATTAGGAGGTACCCATGGTCCTAATACAACTTGAGGAGTAGTAACACTTTGTGTAACACGATTGCCTAATTGTCCTGCACCACCTAAGCCCCAAGCATAAATTTTTCTATGTGAAGGTACGAATGCTAAAGTATGTCTTCGACCACATGACACCTGCAAAAGACAAATATCATATGTAATAAAATGTTTAATATGTTAAAACGAGAAAAAAAAAATTCTATTGTGCTTATGTACTTGTGTAACAGTACTGCCCATCAATTCCATAACTTGACGAGGTAAAATCTCATTGCTATGAATTCCATGTCCCAATTGACCATACATTCCTGCACCACAAGTAAATACACCACCATCCTATAAAGATAAGTATGAAGAATAATAGTTAAATATAATCTTTTCAGTTATTTCATTTTACCATTGTTAAAAACACAGAAAATTCTTCTCCACATGCCACATAACATACTTTGGCATTTCGCAAAGTTCTTAATTGGCAAGGAAGGTGTCTACTTTGTGTATCATTTAGTCCCAATTGTCCAAATAAATTTTTCCCCCAGCCAAATACGGCACCTAAAAAAAAAAAAAAAAAAAAAAAAGAGAAAAAAATTATTAATATTATTTTTTTAATATTATATCAGTAATTTTTTAAATATCATATTAAACATTACCTGACTTAGTTATAGCTATGCTATGATAACCACCACATGCAATAAATGCAATAGGTAAAGAAATTAAGCTGCTAATAAGTTTGGGTTTTAACTCCTTAATTACATCAGAACCTAAGCCTAATTGCCCTTCAAAATTTGAACCCCAAGCATAGATTTCTCCATTATTTGTAAGCGCAAGTACGTGTTTTATTCCACAAGCTACTTGTACAATTACATTTGTTCCTAATGTTTTTATCATACGTGGTATATTTTCAGTAGGGTTCA